AAAAAAAATCAAATTATTCTAGAAAATTCTTTTCAAATTCTTTTTACACAAAAAAAAAATAAAACGTTCGAATCGACAACATTAATTTATTCGATTCTAATTCTACATCAAAAGCTCGACTAATGTGTATTTAGTGTTTTTTTTCGTATGTCCGCCACACTTTTTCTCTTTTTTTGCCATCTATCTATTTTGGCTTTAGATTCGGTTATAAATTTTCTTCGTTTTTTTTGTTCTTCCAAGTAGCAAAAGCCAATTTCTTTTATAATAAACACTGAAAAAATGAAGCTTATGCAAGAAATAAACATAGAAAAAAATAAACAAAAAAAATGAATCATCCATCAATAATGTTTGATTGAATAATCACAAAGCAAAGCAACAAATCAAAATCATAAAAGGATAATGAACCAATAAGTTTTATGCAGGTAAAAAGGGTTTATACATTCAAAAAATAAAAAAATAAATGTGTTAATTTTGTTGTTGTTGTTGTTTTCGATCTTTGTTGAAAATTTATTACCTTGATTGGCAGGCTACCGTTTTATGTTTCTAATTTTATTTTTTTCACTCAAACTGGTTTGATTTAACGATTCATTCATTCATTTAATGACCAGGAAAAAGAACCCTTTCACTATCGATTTCAGAGATTTTAGATAGCAAAAATTTTTCCTGATAATATTCTATTAACTTTTGATTTTTCGGTTGACAATTTATTGACAATATTCAAACACAAATCAATGAATAACAATCCATGTTTGCATTTGTAATTGGTTTTTTCCAAATATAAATTTTTGTGGTGATAATTAATAGTGTTTTTTTTTCAATTCAAAAAGTTATTTATTTGTTTGTTTCTCTACATTTTCTCGGCTTATCATGTTTGTTTTTGTTTTTGTCATAGTTAATTGAACCAAAACAGACATTAATATTGGTTCTACTGCTTGATAATGGTTGATTTTGTGTGCCTAACGGTTTATCATTTATCGATAGCTATCCTATGATAAAATTAACCATTGATTGTCGTCGATGATGATAAATAACAATAATGATTGATATTTCCATTAAATTGTTACAATTGGACTTTATGTTCAAAGATCATCTTGAAATTTCATTTTTTTGTAGTTGTTCAAAGCTAACTTCGATGATGCAATCTTTGTATTTTCGATTTTTTTCTTCTTCTTGCTGTTGCATCATTCAAACATATTCAGAAAATTTTTTTTGACGGGGGGTGTTTGTTTACATTTCGTTTTGTCTCTATTTTTTTTTTCGTTTGATGTTCATTGACGGTTGATGGTGTATGGTGTGTATTTTACGATCAAAAACCAATATAATTCACTCTACACCTTAATAAAAACAGGTGTCCATAACAAATGAAAATTGCCTGAACTTTTAGCCTTAAGGTCATTATTGTCGAAAAAAAAACGAAAATGTTACGTTTTTATTTCATGAAAAGTTTACTATCGTCCTTGGGACCTTAGTGGTTTGTTGTTTCAATTTTTTTTTTCGATTGAAAATTGG